CCCTCAAAACTCTCCCAGCCTATGTCCATTGCTCAATTCCAAAGCCACGTCCACATTTTTAAGTATTTCTTAAAGCAGCCCCCCACTTCCACATCTGAAAACTGTAGCAGTTTCCTGTTGCTGCTATAACAAATCACCACAAACTTAGGGGCTTCAATCGACACACAGCACTGGAGGTCAGAAGTCCAAAGTGAATCTTGCTGGGCTAAAATCAAGGTGTCAGCAGTGCTTGTTCCTTCTGTACACTCTAAGGGGAAAATGTATTCCCTTTCCTTTTCCAGCTTCTTGAGACTTCCCACATTCTTTGGCTCGTGGTCCAAAGAATGGCCTTTATCTTCAAGGCCAGCAATGGCAGATCTAGTCATTCTCGCATTGTATCACTCTGACACTGACTCTTATACCTCCCTTTTCCAGATGTAAAGGATCTTTGTGATTACGTGGGGCCTACCCAGATAATCCTGGGTAGCTTCCTTATGTTACGGTCAGAAGATTAGCGACCTTAATTCTACACACAACCTTAATTCCCCCTTAACATGTAACAGAACATATTCTCAGGTTCTCAGGATGGAGACATTAACATCTCTGAGAGACTCTTCTGCCCACCACAATATATCTTTGTATAATGATAAATTTTCAATTCTTCTATACTAACATGGCCTACCGTGTCACCTGGTCCCTGCTTTCTTCATTTGCTCCATTTCATATCACATCCCTTATGTTTCCACTGCTCTGGATTTCTTCCATTTTCTCAAATGCGCCATGCTCATTCCAGGCTCAGGATCTCTGCTGATGCTATTTCCTTTGCCTGTGTTACTCTTCCTCTCTGAATCCTCACAGTCCCTCTTCTCCAGACTACTCTTATTTACCCTTCAGCTATCAGCTTAAATTACTCTTCTTCAAAGACAGTTTCCTAGATCCTGTGACTCCCTAAACAAGAATATAGATTCCCATTACAACCTTAGTTTTACTTCATGTCATTTATCTTAATGGTGATTGAATTATCTGTGTAATTGTTTGTTTAATGACTATTTTTAAGGCACTATGAGTGTAAAGTTCTAACTTCTTCATTTGTTGTATGCCTAATACCTAGCAGAATAGTGATTGCACAACAAAATTTATTTGAGTGAATGAACATGTCTCCTTTAATCCTCATAACAACATTAATTTTATAATTGAGGGTACTGAAGCTCAGAGAAATTAAATAACTTCACCATAGTAAAACAGTTAATGAGATTCCACTTGGGTCTTTATGGCTTCCAAGCCCACATCTTAGTCATTGTGTTATTTTATTCTATTGGGACAGCAATGGCCATTGTCCCCAAGTCCAAAGATACTCACTGACCATCATACTAAAGACAAATATCCATTGCCACCTCGCTTTCCTTACTGCAGTTACCTTTGCCTACTAAAAGTCAAAGGCCCACCACAAATGCCCAACTCTCACGCCTGTTTTCAAATACTGCCATAAGAGTAGATTTGTGACAAGATTTTTTTCCTTTGAAATCTTCAAGTTCTTTAAAAATAATTACTAAACTTATTTTCAAATTACCAGCTCAGGAAAAAAAATATGCTTTGATTTTATCTACTTCTCTTCTGGGAATTAATGGCATTATAAAAATCTGTGAACACCTTACAAGAAATTTTATTAAACCAACAGATGAAACTATCTAGTTTGGGAACCTGGCCAGGCAAATTATTAAAACCAAAGACATAAAAAGCATGCTAACATTGCTAGAATATCCCAGAACTGTGCTTCTATAACTCTCAATCTTGGTCTCTCACATACAGAGATGAAAAAACATTATCAAGATTATCTAGCAGAATATTTCCTAGATGCTGAACAAAGTAAGATAGAATTCTATTTATAATTGTACAAGTCCGTAAGATTTCAGAACTCTTTAGAACCTTTCATGGGTCTTTTCTTTTCACTGTCAGCATTCAGTCCACTATTTTTTTAAAAACTTAAGTGTATTTTTGTGTCTATGAGTAAGACTTTGTGGCTATGAGCTAAAAATACTTACAAGATCTCCATATAGATTCCAAACTACTGCCTGGACACTTTTTTCTTTTGAAAATTATTACAATTGGCACAGATCAAAAGCCATATTTATTAAAGGATAATCTATTTTAGCATTATTACTTCAATTTCCAAAGCAGCTATAAATCAAATATCAACAACAACAAAACAACTTTGTGATACTATGGTTGCTGTTGAGATAAAAATCAGGTATGACTTTGAAATATACTTCCATTTGCTGTTATTATGCATATATAATAAAATATAATTATTAAGTAATAGTAATAGATTCATATTGCACAATTTACAAAAATATTTATAGTTTCAAAAAGTACTAAATTGCAAGCTTCTTAAAAACTACTAAAGAGAAGGATGAAGTAGGCAAAAGGAGAAGCAATATTAAATAAGCAAAAATCTTGGTAAACTATACATTGAGATTATTTTAAAGCTAAGAGACAAAAGAAGGTGGTTGTATTACTACAGGAGAAATTTAATGGTTCAATATCTGTTCCACCTATTTAGAATCTATTTGATAACACAAAGTAACTTATCTGATAGGTTTATATAAGATCTGAGAGCATCTCACAGGTTTTGTAACTTATTCCTATTTATGCTTTGACATTTAACACACTACACAAAAATATCTGCAGCACCCACAATTCACTGTTAATAGAATCCATAAAATTTTCAGAGTCTGAAAGCTTTGTCTCCCTAAAATCCACGTGTCCCAGTGAAGCAGTAGGAAGGAGTCAGAACTGACTTCTTCACAACTTCCACATTGTAATAGCACAGAAAAGACCTTTCCAAGGTAACTACAATGCAAAGCCAAAGGTGTACATGTTGTCAGTTTCAGAATCTAAACCTTAGAATAAAAGAAGTCATTGGAACTCAATGCATCTGTAATGCATGCCTACTGAGAACACAGCAGGCAGCAAATACTTGCCGATTGATTGGATAGATGAAATACGGTTCATAATTTGGCAGGAAATGAAATTTCACATCTTCAAAGCTTGTATATTATATTTGTTAGGCATTTACCCTGCCTAAATATTGGGCTTGGTGCCAGCAAGGAAACAAAAACAACCAATTCGTCAATGTGCATTGATATCTAGTTACTATGGAAAATGGAAAGAAAACATATTTCATGAGCCTCATGTATTTGCAACACAATGCCTACCTTGAAGAACTGGCAATTTAAATAAAAACAAATACTAAACATTCCTTTACTAAAAAAAAATAACCATGAAAAGATATTGATCGCTTGCAAGTATTTCCTAGACTGTCTAACTGTCTAGCATCAGAACATAAAATGCACAGTCCTGAAGGTTTCTATTTGTGACAGTTCAGACACCCTTCAGAAGAAGCTAGGAAGAACACTAATATAAAGGCTCTCTGGAAATTTTAAGGGCATTTAAATGCCATTTGTCTATTAAGAGCTTTAGCTTCTGTAAAGCTTTCAGTTATAGAAATAAGCAGTCCTGAAATAACTTTCTTTCAAGTTCACAGGGATTGAAAATCAGAAGTATAAAAAAGAAAAAGAAACAGAAGCTTAACCCTAATAATACTTCTATTGCACTCTGAATTTTTCTGATTGTCTATTCTTATTTCCTTTATGAGATTTGGTCATTATTTTTAAAGGATTAGATATCCAAGCTGTCCCTCACTCCCCCCAAAAAAGACCTGTAAGTAAATAAAATATTATCATCAATATTTGTTGCAATAAAAATACTTAGTGGGCTCACCGTAACAAAATAAAAAAATTATATTTTAGTTTCTTGTAAGAATAAACTTGTTTTTAAAATGCAACACATGTCAATCACCTCCTTCAACTGTAAGCTTTGGTGTTACTGTCCATGGTGACACTTACTGGCTATATCAGGCAACAACACCACTACAGAAACACTCAAGTTTTATTTTATGCCTATTGCTTGGTGGCAGGTGTCCTGAAGTGGTTTTATTTTGCATATCCAACTCTTTAGTAATTATGAGTTTCACTTCTTTTGAAGCCATGGAACCAAAATCACAAAAGAAAAATCTGGGTGGGGCGGGACGAAGATGCTTTAGTCAGCCCATCAGGTATGTCAAACCAAACTCCACCTCTCTTTTGCCTTCATCTTTGCTACACCATATACGAAATGAGTCTTTCCGTTTCTGTTTAGCTACCTTTTAGAAGTTCATATTACAGCATCTTTCCACAAACTAAGCAATCTCAAAAAGCTTTGGTAAATTAAAGTTGAAGGCTTGATGCACTGGAATTTGTTTCTGATGATATACCATATTTAAATATAATTTAAAATGTAGATATCTGTGCCAATGCCCATTAACTTAAAAAAAAAAGTTTTAAAATCCTAAGTATATAATTAATGGTGAAACAGGTGTACTTTTGGATTAATACCTATTTGAATTATTTTCAAAATAATTGTTAAGAAAATATTCCCTTTCTCTTGCCAATGATGGAAAAGGATCATGATCTTTCAATGATGAATCTCATCTCAAATATATTGTGTTTGTGATATACAGTAGATAAAGCTATTGGGAGGTATTAATTTTTCCAGAACGCTATCCACATAAATTCCTCCCAACCGCACACCATTGTACATGAAACTTTCAGAGAGCACTGTCTTCAAAGATTAAGCTATCGTATTTCCTACCTAAATCAATTTTACCCAAATGAGGCGTTTGTGTTATAATTCATTGTTCCCCAGACTAAAATCTACCATCTGCCATTGGAGTGTCTGTATAGTAATTAAGGCACTATCCATTAGAACTGGCAAGAGTACAAAGTAAGGAGGAGGAGGGGGCAGGAGGGGAGAGAAACCAAGCCACTTAAAAAGACAAGGAAGGTGTGTGTGTTTCACGCTGACCCCTCCACATCTCAGCTCAGATACAGTCATCCATGAATCAGTACAGAAGTTAGGAGAGTGGCGAGGCCAACTCCTCCCAGAACTAAACCAGCACTGGGGAATCAGCACGCTCTTCATACCTTGAAAGAGAAAGGCTTTCGTCCCATTATGCAGCCCGGGGACCTGGCGCACTCCGGTCGTGGACTCCCCAAGTTCTAACTCTGTTAAGACGTCGATCTGTAGGGAGGGGTCCACACCAAGCCCCCAAACTGGTAGGAGTGGGAGTGGGGGGAAAGAAAGAAAAAAAACACATCAAAATACAAGCCTCTTCTTCCAGGGCAGCAAAAAACCGCGGCTGCGAGACAATATTGGGAACTGACGACGGGGCGAGGCGACTCCCTCCTCCACCGCTGAGAGCCTTACCTGAGATCAGCAACCAAGCTTTAAATAGCAGAGCACCCAGTCCCATTTCTGTGACCTACTTTAAACCATCTCGGTGCAAAGTTCCCCCATGGCCCTCAGACCCTGGACGAGGCGTGTGACCTGCCCTGCAATCTCCAAGACACACACAGAAAAAAAACAAATACAAACCAGCCCCCTATGCCAAGCTTCCCACTCCAGACCTACTTCGGGTGAAAGAAAAGCGAGGTGTTCCTAAACCAGCTTGGGCTGCCCCGAGGCGGGGGCCATCCCTTCCCCCGCCCCAGCTCGGCGGCCACTCACCTGCTCCGAGACCGAAGATCAAACAGAATGTTCTCAGTAAGACCCGAGACTCCATGGTGTGGATCTGCTCAGTCCATCGTCTCCCTCTTTAAAAATAAAAATAAAAATAAAAATTGAAGAGGTTCTTGGAATCAAGCGGGAAAAGAGCGTTTCTCTTTCCTGCCGCTGCCTCGGAGCTACTGATTAGTAGGTTTAGTACGATTTGGTTGCCTAAGAAAAAAAAGGGAGGACCCCCCAGGCACGTGAAGAACTTGGACCCTCCAACGTGCACATCATTCCCACACTCAGAACCCAGGCGGCAGCTCCGGCTGGGAGGGGGCCCAGAGAGAGGGATCGGACTCGCCCGGAGGCTGCTGAGCTGGGGGAATTGTCTCCAGGGCCGAATAAAAGCAGCGGAAGGCACGCACACCCAAAAGAAGGGAGGCGGCTGCAAGAAAGCGGAGGCTGGGTCTGCCGCACCCGCCCGTCTTCCCAGTGCCCGAACCTGTTGTAAAGGCAGAGACAATGGAGAGAGCGCCTGGAGACGCGCGAGGAAGAGAGACAGTTCCTCCAGGGAGGGAGGGGCGGGCCTGGGGAGGCGGGGAAAGGAGGAGAAGGGAGGGACCGCCAAGGGCGAGGCCAGCGCTGCGCGTCCCTCTCCCACAAGGGCTCCTTGGTTTCCAAGCCCCGTCTAGCGAACCCGGAGCAGCTGCAGCCTCCGCCCTCCTCCTCCCTCTCTCGCTGACCGGGGCAACGCCAACCTCCTTTCAGGATGGAAAGATCTAAATGCAAGGTGTTAAGTTGATAGGCAGCCTTTGCTCTCACCCCTTGATTTCGGGCGCGTGTCTTGAAAGACAGGAGAGAAAGGATCACCCAGCCGCAGAAGGCAAGACTAGAAGGGAGACATGCTCCACCGCCCCTTAGGCAAGGAGGGAAGCCCGCATACAATCGTGCATGGTACTCTGGAGCAGCCCCAAGAACTGGAGAGGGGACTCCCTCTCGGAGGCGTGCAGAGGAGAGCTGCCAAAGCACGCTAGACTCCCAAGGTGGGGCTGGGCGGTGTAGAGGAAGATTGTTGGAGACGGGTGGCAAGTTTGGGAAGCCCTGGGAGCCCTAGGCAGACGTTCTCTGGGCGGGCGGGGCGCTGGAGAGCTTCCCTGGTGCCAGAGCAGGGGAGAACTTAAACAGGAACTGCTGGACAGCTCCAGGACCTCGTGCGCCCCCTGCCAAACACAGCGTGGAGACCTGGGCTCTAATCTAACACTCCAGGACAAACACAGGGCAGGAGGCAAGGGCAGAAGAGCCAGCATGCCTGACCACGTGGAAAGGAAGGGATGGATGGATGAAAGATAGATAGATAGATAGATAGATAGATAGATAGATAGATAGATAGATAGATAGACAGACAGACAGACAGACAGACAGACAGACAGACAGACAGGGACAGATGAAAGAGTGAAGGGAGGGAGGGAGAGGGAGGAG